AAGAGCGAAGAGCAGAGCAGGCTTTACCATTAACTTAATAATACTCCTCAACTTCTAATGCCTTACCGTTAACTTAACAATATAACAATACTTCTCAAATTTGTAATATTTTACCGTTAACAATACTTCTCCCTTCTGTGGCTCTCAACAGTTCTTGGTGTGAAACCGGACTTAGTTCTGGGATAATTTGTGTTGCTGTGTTGAACTAACATACTTCGAAGCAGATACTGAATGTCCTTTTGAAGGTGAAGTCTTCATGCTTGCATACTTCATGCAGGGAGGGAATTCTTGGACAGTGAGATCTAGATATCAGAATATAATCTATACAGATGTCGTAGAGTAAATAGGTCATATGGAGGAGTGGGTCTGTATATTAGAGAAGACCTTGCATGCTCAGAGCTCCTTAACTTTACAAATGAGGTGGTAGAAGTACTGGGAGTAAAAATAGAGAAAATAAACTTAGTTATTATTCTAATATACAAACTGCCAGATTTAACAGTTGAGGAATTCCTAGAACAGATAAACAAAATAGATAATAGCCTCGTTAATTTGGCAAACCCAATACCTGATATTATCTTCCTAGGTGACTTCAACATGTCTAGTCTAAGATGGAGAATAGTAAACAATATTATTATATCAGGAAGTCTATCGGGACATAACCAATCACAGATTAGAGAACTACTGTACTTAGATTCTGTTACAAATTTTTACTCAACCAGCAGATAACAGAGCCAACTAGGAACGAAAATATTCTAGATCTGGTCTTCACAAACAATGAAGATATAATCAGGGCCATTACAATCTCAGATACCACATACTCAGTTCACAAGCTCATTGAAGTGCAAACTAACATCAATATACCTAAAACAATGATCAAGCGAGAGGGGTTATTCAGTAAATTCAATGTTAATAATAAAAGAATAGACAGAAAATAATCAGAAAACTTACAAACATTCAATGGGAAACTGTTCAGGGTAATAAATATCCTTCACAAGGAATATAATAACTGATTTCCAAAGCAAAGTCTGTCTTCACAAATACGAAATCAAAAGCAAAAACCACTGCCAGTATTGGACCTATTCGCACCAGTGAAGGTTCATCCACTGAGGACGACAAGGAAATTTGTGAAATCCTAAAAAAGCAGTATGAGGACATTTTTAGCACTCCAATAAACAGCATGAAAGTGAAAGATCTGGACAACTTCTTTGTGTATGAAATCCGAACTCCTGTAAATATACAGTAACTGATATTAACACGAGTGTGGCAGATTTTGAAAGAGAAATTGATAACATGCCCATGCACTCAGCCTGGGGTCCACTCGTGGAATTCAATATTTATAAAGAAATGCAAAATGCCAGTATAGCCATTACGAGAGAGAGATATCAAATAATATACACGTGGAAGATACTGGTGGGCCAAGTACCAAATCTACTCAGTAAAATAACAACATACTGGAGTGAACGATATGGAAGAAAATGCAGAATAGAACCAGTGAAGAGCAGGGGTGCCATAGGCACAATCAGAGAACACCGTATAAACATCAGAGGTCCACGGTTGTTCAACGTCCTCCCAGCAAGCATAAGAAATATTCCCGGAACAACCGTGGACATCTTCAAGAGAAAATTAGATCATTTTCTCCGAGGAGTGCCGACCCAACCGGGCTGTGGAGGATATGTGGGCCTGCGGGCCGCAGCAAGCAACAGACTGGTGGACCAAACTCTCACACGTCAAGCCGGGCCTCGGGCTGGGCTTGGGAAGTAGAACTCCCAGAACCCCATCAACCAGGTATTAACCAACCAGGTTGGGGAGCGGATAGGCGCACGCTCCTCTCTTTACATTACTCTCTCGTCCTGTCTAAACTCGATTATGGTTGCCCTGCATACTCTTCTGCTTCTCCTTCTACTCTTCGCCGTCTTTATGTTTTGTACCATACTGGGTTGCGCCTCAGCTCTGGTGCCTTTCGTTCGACTCCCCCGCTCAGTTTGTATTGTAGCAAGTATATTATTGGGATAATCTACTCGGTTGACACTGGCTTCCTATCTCTCCAGACCGCAGTGATCGCTACTGTCTTCGCTATCTTGCAACATCCTTCCTCTCGCCTCTGTCGTACTTTTACTTTTACCCCTCCTATAGTTCCTGTTCCTCTTCAACACCTCCCTCTTTCTGTCTGGTTATCTCACTTGCAAGATTCTCTTTCGGTTCGTAGTTTTAATATTTCTCCTAGCATTGTTCCTGCCTTGCCCCCGTGGAGAGTCCCCCTTCCAAAATTTTGTACATCCTTGACCCGCATCACTAAAGCTTTTACCCCTCCTATGGTTCTGAAACGCATTTTCCTTGAACACTTTTCTTCACACTCCCGCTCCTTGTTTTCCCGACCATACTTATGTGTCACCTACCTCCGGAGGCTAGCATTTTCAGAACTTTATACTATTCTCTATGCTTTGTCTCCTGCTTTCTCGTTGTAAATCCTCATTTGTGGTTGTAGTTGACTCTTGTAGTGTCCTCATGGCTCTCGGGTCCTTTAATCCAGTCCATCCGGTGGTCGTCGAGATTCAACATTGGTTGTTTCTTATTTCCAGTAAATTGAAATCAGTAGTTTTGCTGGGTTCCCAGCCACGTTGGTGTTTCTATAAATGAGCGTGCAGATGCTGCCGCTAGGGAAGCTATCCGCTCTTGTCCCATCTCCCATAAGATATTCCTTATTCCGACTTTTATCCGGTTATTCATTCCTCCATCCTTGCCCGTTGGCAGGGTTGTTGGTCTTCTGTTGTTGGCAACAGACTGTGTACTCTTAAGCGTTGTGTCCCCCCGTGGCCTTCCTCCTACCACCGTAACCGGCGATGGGAAACCACTCTAGCAAGGTGGCGTATTCGCCATACGTGCTTAATTCACTGTCACGTAATGGAGCGCCGCCCTGCTCCTTATTGTCCAAATTGTATTGTCCCTCTTACAGTCGTGCATATCCTTGTTGAATATCCTAACTTCCAGGACGAGCGTGTCTTGCTTTCCAACCGTCTCTCTCGGTCACTTGTCCCTCGATACAATTCTTGGAGAATCAGATACTTTTGATATCGTTCACCTATGTGTTTCTGTTCTCGTATTGGCATCCTTGGTGATATTTGGTGCCCTCTGATTATTCTACACATTTGATGGTGCTACATAGCCTTCCCGGTTTGGTGCCTTTGATAATTTTTTATACCTTTGATGCCTTTTGATAATTACTTGCTTGCTCTTGAAAATGTCCATGGTTGTTCCGGCAATATTTCTTATACTCGCTGGGAGTGCTGTAGGTAGAACAACCGTCGAACTCCGATACAAATTTTTCAAAGTTTCTCTTGGTTGATCCAGTTTCCTGGGTAGCAGACTCAAAAATATATACAAAAATTGGGCATACAGTATTCATGTTCCACATTCATTACCAATATTACTGCAAGAAAAATATTTTATGTATTTTTTTTTTGTAATTTTTTGAACATTTAGGCAAAATAGGGTATATTTAAGTTTCTATTTTTAAGTGATATTTTGTCATGAAATTAGTATTTCTAACTCCAGTTATATACATTTGTTTACATTCATTACTGTAGGAAAACATTGTTTCATTTACATAATTACATAATCAAGTTTTGTGTAATATTGCATGTTAGTTTTTCATAACTTTAGTTGGATATGTCATTAAATATTATTTGTTCACATTCAACACAAGAGGCAGTTACGGAGGCAGGCAGGCAAGGCAGGCAGGCAGGCAGATACTAAATACATAACATGAACACACAATTTAACATAGAAATTTACTGATTTTAACAAATTATCTAAAATGTATATTTACACACATTAACCCAAATCTTATAAGTACAAAACTGAACAACTATAAGGTAGCCAGGTGGCAATTAAATTCTACCTGAAAAGTACACATTGGAACCTGGAGATTTTCCAAAGCGAGGGTGCATTGTATGTTAAACCTGCACTTGAAACTAACAAACAATCCCACATTAATTGTTCCTGTATCCAGTAATTTGCTCAAAAAAATAAACACTATTTCCAAACTAGCACACTGCAGTATTTAGAAATATCCTTTTAATTCAGCCTTATTTGTATCCCTTCTTTATTGTATACAAGTACAGTATACATTCAACATATTAACATCATATATATACCCTTTCATCTGTTTGTATACAGTACTTATTTTTTTTAACAACTGTACTTAAATAAATTTCTTTTTAACAATGCTTTTCTGTCTGGAGTAAATTCCACTTATCCTTATTTTACAGAACTTGCGATATTTTCTTTCAAACTGCAAGAATTGTTTAATTTGTGAAGACTGCTGGTTTGGTACAAGGATCACAAAAACAATTTTGCAGCACAAAATAACTGCATTTTACACCTGCTGGCTCTCTATTCAAAGTGGAATATTCCAATTTGCAGGAATGGAAATTTTGCTTTTGTTATGCACTACAGTACCTTCATCATCATATTGACAACCTGAATGATATCTAGGAATTCCTGAATATTCTGTACCATACAGTCCCAGTGGGCACAATATCCAAGAGCAATACCAAATCAACGTCATCAACGTTGATTTAACATTGAACCAACGCCACTCTTGGATTTGCACCCACTGGGGGTGCAATTACCACTCGAGTCATAATAACTCCCCTTGATCTTGTCAAATGCACTCCAAAGAACCACAAATTTCCCTTTGGTGAATCTAGTTGTTACAAAATGTAAATAATGTAGCTTTTCAAATTTTTTACTCGGTATACAGTTGTGTAAGCTTATCGAGAAAAAATACATCCTAAAAGGATACAGTAGTTTAGGCTTTCTCGCAGTACAGTATATGAAACATGATTGATTTATAAACACGATTTATTTGTAAAATGTAAATAATGTAGCTTTTCAAATTTTTTACTCGGTATACAGTTGTGTAAGCTTATCGAGAAAAAATACATCCTAAAAGGATACAGTAGTTTAGGCTTTCTCGCAGTACAGTATATGAAACATGATTGATTTATAAACACGATTTATTTTGAATTCCATAACATATAATAATGAAAGACAAATGTTGAAATGATCCTATCTAAAACTCCTTGAAAGTCATAAATAATATATTTCACTATATTCTTAAACCAGCAATTTGAGAACATGGTAAAGGGTGGGAAAAAACACACACCAAATGTTATGGCAGGTCATACCAAATTCCTTTACAGTGAACAGGAATTATTGCATGCTTTGAATGAAATACAAGACAAATAATTTTATGCTAATTATTCTCAGAATATACTTGTGTCTAAAGTGCTGAAAATGCATAGAGATTAACATTTTTATACACCGCTCAGGCAAAATAGTTCTCATTATGAAAACATTTTAACATGATTCTAGAAATCTTCATAAAAGATGTTCAATAACTTTATCTTAAACCCAATGCTATTATTAAGGCCAATTATAATGTTTATCAAATACATTCCATTACAGAGATCCATCAGTTGCAAAAATCACTGAAGCTATATAAGTATGCATGCACACCAAGATGGCTTTCGTTTGTTTCAAAATTAACGACATTTTTGTATATAAAGCAAACAAAAAATCTCAAGTGGCTTCGTAAGTGAAACAAAGGCCAAGCTCTGCTTCTCTAACTGGAAGCTGCTTCATAAGGCTCCTAGTACTCTTAAGATTTTCCATAAATATATTTAGAAGTTGATGCACTCAATCTATAAGGAATGAAAGCAGAGCACAGGACACCAGAGACATATCTTAATCTTCAGTCAATCCCACTACCTTAACATCCACTACACCCTCCCCGGAGAGCCAAAACAAGATGAAGCACAGAGCCACCTTGAACTTTGTAGTCTGCTGCAGTTTTTTCATCATTCCTGAAATAGTACAAGGGGTTAGTTGACCAAAAAAAGTTCTTAATTTCCAATTTATAGTTCCTAGAAAATGAAGGCTAGCTTGGCAACATAAAAGAAATATGATTTTATAGTCAACAAGAATAATGGCCACCATGTGCAGATGATGAGTCACAATAACATGACTGAAGAATGTTGACCAAGCCACACATGAGAATATGAAAAGACGATGACGCTTCTGTCCGTCCTGGACCATTATCAAGTCTATTGTGAAGAGACGAGAAAGGCACGGGCATAAGTCAAGGGAGGCAAGGAGGAGGAAATCTTACAGGAAGATAAAAGCAAGGTGAAAGATAGGCGTTATAAAAGGTATGTAGGGGTAATAAATGGAGTAAATGAAAATGAAAGAAGTAAAAGAAAGAGAAAAAGACTGGGTAGGAGTATGTTAGGTCATGTTTGTTAGACAGTTTAAAACATTTGAGTATGTACTGTGAAAGGGAAGAGTCAACAGTTACAAAGCCAGGACTAGGGTTCATATTGGGTAGGTTGTGTATCAGAGCCGAGTCAACAAGACTGCGTCTGTGAAGAGTAGACAGAAAAGATTATTTTAGAAGATCAATCAACAGGATTATTAGAATCCCTAACATCTCTTCTCATCTCCCTAATCCCTAGTCTCTCTCTTATGTCATGTTAGGGATTCTAATCATCCTATTGACTGGTCTTCTAAAATAATCTTTCCAGCCTCTACTCGCAGACGCCATCTTGTCGAATCGGCTCCGATACACAACCTGCCAAACATAAACCAGAGTCCTGGCTTTAATGCTGTTGACTCTTCCCTTTCACAGTACATATTCAAATGTTCTAAACTTTCTATCAAACGTGACCTAACATAAGCCTACCCAGTCTTTTTCCCCTTTCTTTTACTTTCTCTTTTGTTCCCATTTATGCCTTTTATTACCCCATACATACCTTTTATTACACCTATCTTTAGCCTTACTTTTACCTTCCTCTAAGATTTCCTCCTCCTCACCTCTCTCTTGCCTTACTTATGCCCGTGCCTTTCTCGTCTCTTCACAATCGACAATAATGGTCCAGGACGGACCGAAACATTGTCGTCCTTTCATCTTCTAGTGTGGTTTGGTCAACAATATGGTCACACTACAAAAGATGTCTGCTCTCACTCATGCAATCATTATCTTAATATATAATATCTGGCCTCTAGTATTGCTGCAAAGTTTCTTTCCTAATCAAAATTGGATAATCAATTAATACTAGTATTTCAATGACGAATTATCACCAACAGCATTTTAACAATCTTCATTGCACCATCAAATCCAAAATTAACTAAATCAGTTCACTAACCATTATTTATGCATCACGATAAGACTTGGATTTGGATAAAACTTGAAGCCAATAATAATGGTTAAAATTTTCTGCTAAAGACCATTCATTTCCAAACATTTTGATAACCAACTTATTAAGGTTTTATTTATTTTTATTACTTACTATTGGTTTTTAAGCCAAAAATTAGTGCACACTTTCTAATGTATTGCACTGCCTACATTCAATGGCTCTTCTGCAAATTACTTGTTTACTTTTAAAATTATTGAATAAAGAATTTATGGTACAAGAAAAATTTTTCTTTCTACAGCAACACAGTTGTGAACACTTAAAAAATATTATGAGCATTAAGAACTGCACAATGTGGAAATGTTTATAACTTTACCCGCCAAACACACGATGAAACTACAATGTTGCTACAACGTTTCAACACGCTTTAACACCACCAAAAGAGTCGTAACAACCAATCTAGCAAGTTGTAACAACATTCTTATATGAGATTTCCAAACACTCTCTTTTTTTTTCCTCACTCTTATTAATCAAAATACCTACTTCAACAATAGTATTTAATGTTCCCTCCACTTTACAGCCACAAATTCATCCCATATTTATTTGGATATTTTACCTTTTTATTTTATATATACAAGTTCTTAAATTCTTGTAAAGCCACAAGCATGCATAACATTTCAGGCAGGTCCTTGATCTTAAATTTTCCCTACAATATCACCCGCCAAATCGTTTAACAACCAGGTACCCATTCACTGCTGGGTGAACAGAAGCATAGAGTTAAGGATTGGCACCTAGTTAATCCTTCCCAGCCAGGATACGAACCCAGGCCAAATGATTTGCAAAGCGCTAAGCGAGTGTTTCACCACTGCGCCACAGGGACTGTTATGCAATATAGTCATATGTAATGTGCGTATGATGCATGGTATATAAAACCCATAAAATTTGTAAATAACAAAAATGTAGTGGTCTTGAAACCTAACTTACAGCCAAAATTGCAATAGACCCATTTGTTAATGTGAATTAGCCACACTGGGCATTAATCCATATAACTTACAAAGTCCCATGCAAACTTTAAAACTTTGTAATTAAGTACTTTCCAGCATAACTTTTTAAGCCCACATTCTAGTGCAGTACTGCAATGGACAAAATGTGGGTCACTGGTACTTGAGAACATTCATTTCCAAAAATTGTTACATTAAAATTTATGTTCTATGCTATCAAAGTTGCAAAAAGAAAATATCTATCAATATTTGACTCATTACTGAATAAGAAGCCTAAGAGTGTGACTCACTTTGAACATGGTTATAGGCCCAATTGCTTTGTTTTGCCTGGGAATCAAGCCTAGTTGTAAGTCAGGTGCACTGCCCACCACATTGCAGGTCAATAAATATAGCAAAAATCCAAAAAGATTTTCTAATACAGTATATCTAATTGCTAGGCTATCCTAATTTAAGGATTACACCCACTGATTTAAGCAACACAAGTAACTAGCAGGGAACAATTGGTATGGTTCAAATGTTACTTGCTTAAAATATATTGGCACGTTACTGCCAATCCACCCATCTGCCTGCCCTATTATAGGTTTATAATGCCAAAATGTACTGTATTTTTATTTTGCAAACACATTATGTAAAGAATATTGTAAAAATGTATTTACCTAACATGACAATCAAAGTGCCTGACTTAAATTGATGACGAGAATACACATACCACTCTACTACCACAATACAGTACTGTGTTCTGATATTTTCACATCAGATTTTAAATAAGCAATGTTGAGTAGTCCCACCATCTAGATTTTTATGCACAATTGGTTGCATAAAATATTTCTTCAAGGGACACATTCTAATTCACCGAAACTTTCATAAACAGCCATTTCACGGACAGCAGTTTGCTCCTGCTGCATAAACTTACATCTGTTTCCCTGAAAAGATGAGTCGTTGCTGAGGTGGCGGTATGCCTTCCTTCTCCTCAACTCTCTCTTTAATCCTCTCAACTTTGTCTGTTGGTTCAATATCAATCTCGATCTAGACAAGAAAAAAAAGATTTGATTACAGTATTCAGATAATGCTATAAAGAAATATTAATTTTGCATATACAGGTATAGTATGGTGACTAATACAATACAGTAGTTAATCTTTCACAGTTGAAAAGATTTGGTTAGATTTTGATTAGAATTAGATATGCATTATATACCTAGACCTTAATCATTTTTAACACATACATGTATACATGTATGTGTCATACATGCATACAGCGCTTGGGTGTCGTAGTCCTAAGGGTCCGGGTTCGATCCCTGGTGGAGGCAAAATCAAATGGGCAGTTTCTTTCACCCAGATACCCCCTGTTCACCTAGCAGTAAATAGGTACCTGGGAGTTAGACAGCTGCTATGGGCTGCTTCCTGGGGATGTGTGTGTGCATTTACTTAACCATTGCACTGAGCAGAGTGCAAAAACACTGCAAATTGACTTCCAGATGGATACTGATCAAGAACAGTGCCAATCCATGACAAAAGCATTGAAAGAAACACCTATAAGGGAAATGTTATCGAGTGTTCCTCAAAAGTAAAGAAAAGCGAGACATGTTCTAATGTGCAAATATCCCTTTACGGCATTCTACTGCGAACAATTTGATACTAAATTTATCGACGTAGCACGAAAATTCAGGCGGGAAAGCTGAAAAAGAGCGTGTTGTGTGCTCACGGGCAACGCTCAGCCGACCTTGCAATGGGTCGTCTGCTCGGCCAGCGAAGTGTTAACTATATAAATTCCACAAATTACACATTATTGAATAATATTACTGCAAACAACTAGATATAAAACCATTCACAAACACTGAAATAATTATGTAAAAATGTCTTTGTGCCAGCCCGACACATTCAGCTGTCGGCCGCCAGACTGACCTTGGATTCTTGTTCTGCGTATCTAAACTCTCAACACGTGACCTTTGTGGTTCATTATGGTGCACAAAAATGTAGATAGTTATATATAACATGGGTATATTGTGTAATAACAGCAAAAACACTGTTTGATTGATCTTAGAATATAATATACATGTCATATATATGAGCACCATAAATTTTGAGCATAGCAATGTTCCACACATTGAATTATATAAATTCCACAAATTCCACACATTGAATTATATAAATTCCACAAATTCCACACTTTTGAATAATATTACAGCAAGAAACCAGAGAAGAAACGAATGAGAGACATTGAAATAATTGTTAAAATTATATTCGCGGCAACTGCGCGGTCGAGTGTCCCCGGGCGCCTACTCACTCAGCGCTCATAAATTGCTCAATTTCTCAGTTCCCACGGCTAAAGTATGTCTCATACAATATTCTATTTTAGTTTCCCCATGATCAGAAAATACATTTTAACAATAAGAGAAAAAAATTTGGAAATAATTTATTTTCGGCACACCACAGGGGCTGTCATATTTTAATGCAGTGCAGTGGTTAAAGTCTACACACATGAGTCAAAACACACATGTGAACCCAACACTAGAACTAAAACAAACATAAGCAAAGCTAGAGTCTAAAGGATGGCAAATGTTTACCTGGAAAACTGGGACCTGAAGGGTGAAGGCACCATGAAGACTACATGCGAACAAGGTCAAATGACCGAAGGGTTGAGACCATTCAGACTAGGAACTCCAAGAGCTGTCACCTGGAAGTGAGCTGAAGTGTAACTAACAGGAAAATGACAACTACTGTGAACCTAGTTTTGGAGTTGTTCGTATTTACCATGCTGTTACCTATTTTGTTTCACTCTGCCTTTCTGGAAACTTATTCTCTTGGTTAGGGTGATCTAGCATCCCCTGCTCCTTGCACCTCTAGGTTTTGGCCTTTGGTCTCTGCTAAGCTTTTCATGACTCGCAAGGGTCTGGTATGATGAGTGTCGAGTTATCCATTCTGTTAACTACAGTGAACCACTGAGGGAACCTTCCCAGAAACTAGTGGTTTCATGCAAACAGAATTGCAATCATAACATCATGAACAAAATGCCCAAGTTTATTATTTGTGATTTAATGCCTCTCATTACATAGATATGATCCAAGTAATACTGTATATACAAATAGTGGCATTTTCTTAAAATCACTTGTTGATATCAAATCATGTTAAACATGCACAAATAAATCCATTTCACTAAGAATAGTTAAAAAAAAAAAAAAAAAAAAATTACTGTACTTGAGCCCTGATGAATTTGACATATCCAAATCTATTTTTGTTAAAGTTCCATTGAACCCTTTTCCAATCACATCACAAACAATATTGTGAATATTTATTATTAAAAGCATAAATACTCCTTCCTCCTGTTCATATTTTTCCAAATACGGACAGGGGTAGAAATAACTAATGTAGATGGCTGCGGTGTGTGACATGGTAGCATGTAGTTGCGGTAGGCAGGTGTTAACATATTGGTTATATCAGTGTAGCTTTGTGGAAAAGGGAAAGGGATTGCGAGCTTGTAAGTAGTGCTAATAGGTGAAAATAGGCAGGTTAGCAGATGGGCAGATGTGTCATTGGTGCAGCATTTGAGTGGGCAGGGTAATTTAACTTATGCCTAAGTGAGTGAACAAGTGGGGTATGGTTTTATGCTTGGGTGGGTGAGTGGGTATGTTTTTAAGCTTTTACGGTCTTATGTTTGGGTGAGTGAGTGGGTATGGTCTAATGCTTGGGGGAGTGAGTGGGTATGGTCTTATGCTTGGATGAGTGAGTGGGTATGGTCTTATGCTTGGATGAGTGAGTGGGTATGGTCTTATGCTTGGATGAGTGAGTGGGTATGGTCTTATGCTTGGATGAGTGAGTGGGTATGGTCTTATACTTGGATGAGCCTTGATGATATGGCATATGGAGGATGGGAATGAGAGTTGTAGCTGGGATTTCAGCAGGGGTGGGACTGGTATATGGCTAATGTTGGTGAAGTGGTAGGTGGTGCAGTGGTTGAATAGTAGTGGCTGGCTATCAAGTTAAATAGACAGGGTGATAAAACATTCCTAGTACCCTGTTTTCAATTCACAGTAATAATAATAATAATTCATTGTGTCGGGGGGACAGGAAGCCAGAGTGTATCAATACATGTTAGGCTTGTATCGAGGTCCCCCTGCAAAGGTCAAATTACTGACTCCGCCCAGGATGCAACCCAGTAACAAGCTGACTAACTTCCAAGTGCCTACTTACTGCTAGGTGAACAGAGGCATTAAGTGAAAGGAAATGTACCCAACCAGTTCTGTCCTCCTTAGGATTTGAACCCGGAATTCTCGACTGCGCGTCGAGAACGAAACCCAACTGTACTACCGGGGCCCTTTAACTACTGTATTATCAATTAGAACTAACATCAAAAAAGCTCCTATTGGGCCACACTGCCCAATAAGGAAAGTAACACTAGGTTTCAAGTCAATAAAGCATTCTTGAGATAATGAATGAAATCCTCAATGAAGGAAAAATTACCCAACTACTATCACACTCGCACCACGGGAATACTTTAAAGAGAACACACATTCATTAGGAATAATTTACTATCAATATAGTTTATCCAAATGATAAAAAGCAACATTTACATAAAACAAAACAAAAAACTCACCTCCTTCCCAGTGAGGGTCTGGAAATAAATGGAAAAAGATTTATTAAAATCTTTTAAAAACAATCACTTATCCAATGTAATTTCTATAGCATATACTTACACACTTAAATACTGCATGTGAATATAAAGCAATATACAGCACTTTGTATACAAATTCTCTTTACATTATATATACAAGTGATGAGGCAGATCACCATTCATAATGCCAGATCAAGAGCAATACAGTGGAACCTTGGGTGATGAGCAGCCCCATCTATGAGCATTTCAGGTATCGAGCGAGCCACTCGCGGACAATTTGTCTCGATTGATGAGCTTCCGCTCAGTTAACGAAACCACCACGTGGTGCAGTTCTCGCAAATTCTTGTACAATTTCAATTGTACTTGAAAAGTACAATTGAAAACAGTAAAACAAAACATTTATAATAATTACATGTACATGTATTATAAATACATTATAAAATATCATATTGATGTTTTTCGGGGGTGGAACAGATTAATTTTATTTCCATTATTTTAAATGGGGAAATTCGTTTCGCAAGACGTGAGTTTCACATGACGAGCTTGGTGCCCGAACGGATTAAATTTGTTAACGTAGGCTCCACTGTATATCTACACAGTACTCACTACAATCGTACAGTACTCGCAGGCTCAATTATGAATCTTAATATGAAATGTCATCACATTCATCAACAAAAAGAAACTTTGAAAATGAGGACTTAGCAATTTATGCATAGAACACACAACAATTAAACAGCATACTAAATTACATTATTTTTATTTCTATATATATAAGAATTCTTACATTCTTGTAAAGCCACTAGCACGCATAGCATTTCGGGTAGGTTCTTGATCCTAATTCTCCCCAGAATACGACCTGACAAATCGTTTAACAACCAGGTACCCATTCACTGCTGGGTGAACAGAGGTTACAGTTAAGAATTGGCACCCAGTCACTCCTCCACGTCCAGGATACGAACCCAGGCCAAAGTGCTCGTGAAGCACCGGGCGAGTTTTACCACCGTGCCACAGGGACATTAAAAGATCTTATATGACACACAATATGAACGGGGAGATCACATTATATACTTCCTATGTCCCAAGAATAATGAACTGCGGATCCTTAAGATTAATGTCATCTCAGTGTGAATTCAAGAGGCCAGGTCATGGGAACGTTGATCATCAGAATCACTGCGAAGTACAAACAAAAAAATAAAATAGGTACTGAGTAAACCAAATTCTCAAAATTATAATTTGTATAAACACTGGCTGTAAAAATTTCTTGTATGTATGTACCTTACCTAAATAAACATTTATTTATTTATTTATTTATTTATTATTTATAAAACAGGGGCTTAACACTAGAGGCAGCTGCAGGCTGGCTGTAACACTAGAGGCAGCTGCAGGCTGGCTGTAAAACTAGAGGCAGTTGCAGGCTGGCTGTAACACTAGAGGCAGCTGCAGGCTGGCTGTACAGAGTGACTATAGACCCACGGCACGAGGGAGGGGGGACCTCTCTGCACAGTCACCGGCCCACCCCATCGTCAACCCCACCGTGTCCTCTCCAGTCAGGTGTGTCAACACATATGGGCCCCTCAGAGCCCTCTGGGCAACACACACCTGCCCCTCCTGCAACACCACCACCGTCAGCAGCTGCTGACGGGGTTGAGAGCAGAAATTACCTTGACTTTGATGAGCATGTTGTTGGTGTTGGGCGTTTGGGCTTCCTGACGACTGACGGGGCGGACTGTCTCCGGGTCGCGTTGTCGAGTCTACGGTACACCACGGGCCACATTGTATATTAGTCTACGGTACACCCCCACGGGCCCACACCGTATATTAGTTTACTGTACACCACGAGACACCGTATATTAGTCTACGTTACACCACGGGCCCACACCGTATATTAGTCTACAGTACACCACGGGCCCACACCGTATATTAGTCTACGGTACACCACGGGCCAAGAGTTGTTTAAAACTGTGTGTCAAGTAGCCAGGGAAGAGAAGATTAAAGAGCGGGAAAGACAATGGCTTGAGTTCACTAGCTCTATTGGACGGGAAACATCTGCAAGACAAGTGTGGGCAAAAATTCAGATAGCTAAGGGGGGCAGAGCCCGGCCTGCGGCTCACAAAGACCCCCAGGGTAAGGCTGAGGAACAAATTCACAAGTGGAGTGATGCAGCATCCTCCTCCTCTCTCCCTGCAGAAATCAGCAGGGAACAGCTCCTGCGACATGATGACAGAAGAATTAGGATAACAAGAGCACTGTCTAGTGATGACGAATATGGGGAACCAATCACAGCCCAAGAAGTAACGGGCGCTATGAAAAAGGGTAAAAGTACAGCACCTGGTGAAGATGGCGTCACCTACGACATACTCAATGCACTGTGTGAAGTGCCTGGGAATCCACTACTCCACCTGTTTAACAAGTCATTCCTAAGTGGAGTGTTGCCCACACAATGGAAACACGCAATAATTGTTCCCATACCGAAGCCTAATGACCCTGGTAATTACAGACCTATCAGTCTCGTGTCCTGCACTTGCAAGATGCTGGAAAGGATCATCCTAAACCAACTGTTGCACAAAATAGGCAGGTTAAGGGAGGGGGTCAATGGATTTGTTAAAGGACGGAGCACAGCAAATTGTATAGTTAATTACTTGGCTAATGACACGGCTAGGTACTCTGTATTTGTTGACATCAAAGGAGCCTTCGACAAAGCACGGGGGATTGCGATCCTGGACGAGCTTGCATGCATGGGTGTCAAGGGGAGACTCATGAAATGGGTTGAAGACTACCTCACAGGAAGGAAAGCCAAGGTTTGCTTCAATGGAGCAGTCTCCAGAACAATGAATATGGAACTCGGGACCCCCAAGGCGGAGTCTTAAGCCCTACACTATTCAATGTACTTATGAACGCCATTGCAAATATTGATTTTCCGGAAGGAACACAACAAGTGGGATATGCAGATGATGTCCTAATACAAGCTCCCACCTTGGGAAAAATTGAACAGTCCATTGAACTCCTTGGAAGGAAATGTATTGAGCTCGGTTTCACTCTCTCCACAAACAAGACAAAGGCATACTCCCATCACAAGCGGAGAGCAAATGAAGAACTGCAAATTAATGGTGTAACACTTGAATGGGTTGACCACTATCGGTACCTTGGCGTCACTGTCGGTTCTAACAAGGGAAAGAAAGAGGAGCTCAATCAACTCATAGGAACATGCAAAAGTCGACTCAGGGCACTGAAAGCTATGACCTGGAATAGACATGGAGCCTCTATTGACGTGCTTAAAATGATGTACACAGCCTATGTGCGCTCCGTCATAGACTATGCCGCACCAGTTCTGTGCACCTACTCCCAAAGCGATATGAAAAGGCTTGAAAGCATTCAAAATGAAGCCATGACAATCATTCTTGGAGTTCCAAGAACTGCCAAAACGTCTAATCTACGAGAGGAGTTGTCCCTTCCCAGTGTTAAAAGCAGAATTCAGGAGCTGAATGCTAAGCTTGCAATTAGGATAGCCAGAGATCCCCATTACAATGATATTGCTAAGAAAAAACTGAGCTCTGTGCTACTTTCAGGGGGAAACAGGAAAAGCAAAAAATGGCATCACAGATCAGTCTGCTACCTCGAAGAGCTTCACCTGCTTGAGCAAGCCCGTGAGCTCCTGCCTGTAGAGAGGTTACCTCCCTGGGAGGATGACTCATGCAAGATCATCATCAATGAAATGGCAACGAAAAAATCCAACATGATACCACAAGAAATGAGGCACAAGTATCTCGAGGAAATTTATAAAGAAGCCGGAGATGAACTAGATCAAATCTACACTAACGGGTCATCTAATCCTGTCAATGGCAGGGCTGGTGCAGCATACACGGTAATCAAGGATAATACTTTCCAACGCAGAAATGAAGAAAAAGCGCGTATTGAGAACTATGCCTCTTCAACGCAAGCAGAGCTAACTGCCATTGTTATGGCGTTAAGGTTTCTTGAACGGAACACTAATGGTGCAGTGATTTGCACCGATTCAAAAGCAGCACTGCAAAGCCTAAGTAAAAATCAGGCAGAAAATCTTGCAATAGTCGCTGAAATTAAGAGAGCTGTGAGAGTATTTACCAATCAGGGAAGAGTCATCAAGTTTCTGTGGATCCCCTCCCATGTTGGAATATGTGGGAATGAACGAGCAGATGTGCTGGCTGCTGAAGGAGACCATATTGAATACTTCATACCCAAGACTCAACTACAAATTAGAGGTATTATCAGGCAACATCACCGTGACAAGGTAACTGAGGAAAGGAGGATAGAAGCACAAACCAGTGAATCTGTACGATGGTACAACATGGTTGCAGCTGGCAATCCCAGTTATTATGGCCGAAGAGGAGGAGGACGAGGGAGAGAATCAGTAATAGCGAGAATCCGTCTTGGATACAAATATCCATGGAGATTTGGAATGGAAACAACAGTTGATCAGCGAAGTTCAAGAATCTGTGGTGAGAGTGATGGACACCGCCTTGACCACTATCTACGTGAATGTGAACACCTGAGAGACATTAGGAATATGTGTATAATAATCAACCCCACATTGTTTGGGTTAGGAAAACACTATTTGTCAAATATTGATACTGTTCTTAAAAGATTTCCCCATTTTGCACCCGCAAGATAACGTAAGCTTTTAAGGGTTGATAGATGTTAATCTTCTTGTTTGAGGAGCTGTTCACTTAAGACAGTTAAGCAAGTCCCAGCTGTGTCTGGGTACAAGTGACAGGATGAACAACCCAGCGGGTTTTATTCCTATTGGGGAGTGTTGTACATGCTGCTATGGCGGTATGTCCACTCACAAGATGAGTGGCGCTGCACAATAAACTCGCCCCTCGGGGCAAAATTAAAAAAAAAAATTAAACCATGAGCCCACGCTGTACATTAGTCTACAGTACACCACGGGCCCACACCGTATATTAGTCTATGGTACACCACGGGCCCACACCGTATATTAGTCTACGGTACACCACGGGCCCACACCGTATATTAGTCTACAATACACCACGGGCCCACACCGTATATTAGTCTATGGTACACCACGGGCCCACACCGTATATTAGTCTATGGTACACCACGGGTCCACACCGTATATTAGTCTATGGTACACCACGGGCCCACACCGTATATTAGTCTATGGTACACCACGGGCCCACACCGTATATTAGTCTATGGTACACCACGGGCCCACACCGTATATTAGTCTACGGTACACCACGGGCCCACACCGTATATTAGTCTACGGTACACCACGGGCCCACACCGTATATTAGTCTACGGTACACCACGGGCCCACACCGTATATTAGTCTATGGTACACCACGGGCCCACACCGTATATTAGTCTACGGTACACCACGGGCCCACACCGTATATTAGTCTACGGTACACCACGGGCCCACACCGTATAACAATATTACACTTTGATGAGGCAGATTGATGAGGAAAAGGACCTTGGAGTCAGAAAAAACTGCAGTCATTGAAAGTTGCACAACAAATGCTGAAGCTCCACTAAAAAGCTCCAACCAAACCCTAAATATAGTCAAACGATTCTTTGACTAAAAAAAAAAGACAATATATAGTTATTCAACTGTACAAATCTCAGGTACTCGCCCATTTGTATTATTGAATCCAAACAAGGAGACCTTGTTTGAATTCAATAATCCATCACCTCGTCGTCAAAAGGAAATATCTACTTTGGAGAAAAGGCGACAAAAATTGGATAAGGGAGTACCTAAGTAACAGAAGACAACGAGTCACTGTGAGGGGTGAAGTCTCGGATTGGCGTGACGTCACAAGTGGAGTCCGCAGGGGTCAGTCCTTGGATCAATACTGTTTCTGATATATGTAAATGATCTCCCAGAGGGTATAGAATAGTTTCTCTCAATGTTTGCTGATGATGCAAAAATTATGAGGAGGATTGAAACAGAGGATGATAGTAGGAGGCTACAGGACGACCTAGACAGACTGAATGAATGGTCCAACAAATGGCTGTTAAAGTTTAACCCGAGTAAATGCAAAGTAATGAAACTAGGCGGTAGAAACAGGAGGCCAGACACAAGACACAGAATAGGAAATGAAGTACTTAATGAAACGGAAAGAGAGAAAGATCTAGGAATTGATATCACACCAAACCTGTCTCCTGAAGCCCACATAAAAAGAATTACGTCTGCAGCATATGCGAGGCTGGTTAACATCAGAACAGCCTTCAAGAACCTGTGTAAGGAATCGTTTAGAATCTTGTACACCACATACGTAAGAGCAATCCTGGAGTATGCGGCCCCAGCATGGAGCCCGTACCTTGTCAAGCACAAGACGAAGCTGGAAAAAGTTCAGAGGTATGCCACTAGACTGGTCCCAGAACTAAGAGGCATGAGTTACGAGGAAAGGCTGCGGGAAATGCACCTTACGACACTGGAAGACAGAAGAGTGAGGGGAGACATGATCACTACCTACAAAATCCTCAGGTGAATCGACAGGGTAGACAAGGATAAACTATTCAACACGGTGGTACGCGAACAAGGGGACACAGGTGGAAACTGAGTACCCACATGAGCCACAGGGACGTTAGAAAGAACTTTTTCAGTGACAGAGTAGTTAACAGGTGGAATGCATTAGGCAGTGATGTGGTGGAGGCTGACTCCATACACAGTTTCAAATGTAGATATGATAGAGCCCAGTAGGCTCAGGAACCTGTACACCAGTTGATTAACAGTTGAGAGGCGGGACCAAAGAGCCAAAGCTCAACCCCAGCAAGCACAACCTGCTGATTACAACTAGGTGAGTCCACACACACACATCCCCAGGAAGCAGCCCGTAGCAGCTGTCTATTCACACGTACCTATTTACTGCTAGGTGAACAGGGCATCAGGGTGAAAGAAACTCTGCTCATTTGTTTCCGTCTCCGCCGGGGATTGAACTCGGACCCTTAGGACTACGAAATCCTAGCGCTGTTCACTTAACCGTCAGGCCCCTATATTGATTCAGATTACTTCTTTAAAAGGTCAGATGTAACACATACAAGGAGCAACAAGTCATTGTGACTTGTTGAGCTTGTAGCTCAACAAGTCACAATGTAGAACGGAAAACAGGAGATGCTTTCTCGCCTATAGGGTTATAAACCCATGGAACCTACCTGCCGTACCCGTAAATACCAGCTTCAGTTCAAAATCCAGCTGGAAATAATCATCAGGAAACAGGGGGGAAACTTTCAAATTCAAATTCAAATGTTTATTCAGGTAAAGTACATATATACAAGGGGTGATACAAATATTGCTGAATATATATATAGAGCTAGTACATAGATAGATAGATAGATAGAGCTAGTACATAGATAGATAGAGCTAGTACATAGATAGACAGATAGAGCTAGTACTTTGACAAGCTGCCAGCTACCTGTTCCCGTCGAGGGCACTAGAGAGTTGGTGGCCCTCAGGTAAATAATAGTTTTAGTTTAGATGATTTATTATGCACCCCATACCCAACCTGTGGGCGGTAGCGGAAAAGGTTACAAAGGCATAAAATGGGCTCAGGACCGCAAAATTAATTTAGCTCAGTAAGTTACAGTCTTGATGAGCTAGTTACACGGTAGTGTATATTAGTCGCAGCTCATTGTTGATATATTGTATATCAACAATGGGCTGGGACCGCAAGCAGTCTCCAAGGCCTATGCTAAGTAACTTACAATAATAAAAAAGGAAATAATAGCATACATAGTTTGCAAATATGTACATACTGTGTACAGTTGGCCGATATTTGTGTCAGTTATTTTATTGTGGTTAAATAAATATACACAATGTAAAATATAAAGATGAATAAAGAATATAGAGATACGAGTGTGGTACTTGTAGTGTAGCCGACCCAGGGACTCGCCAAACAAAAACAAGAGAAGCGCCGCTCCTGGCCATTTTCTGCTAAGAATCCTTATTATTTTGAAATTTACGCATTTCCCCGAAACAGTGCAATATGAACCCGCTGACGTAAGTTTCCTAGAGTATCAAGTAGTGTAACATAACAATGGCTTTGTGTATTTTGAGATGGTGTCCGGTTGGGGCGTCCATGGTGGGACCAGACCCAAGCGATAGGGATTTGAGCGATCAGTGGGCGGCCAGTGGGTGGCTAGGGTGCTTTGAGCGATCAGTGGAGGGCTGGGAGGGTGTGGGCGCCCTGTAGATGATGTGGGCGCTCCATGGGTGGTGCAGGCGTCCCGAGGGTGGTGCAGGCGTCCCGTGGGTGGTGCAGGCGTCCCGTGGGTGGTGCAGGCGTCCCGTGGGTGGTGCAAGCGTCCCGTGGGTGGTGCAGGCGTCCCGTGGGTGGTGCAGGCGTCCCGTGGGTGGTGTAGGCGTCCCGAGGGTGGTGCAGGCGTCCCGTGGGTGGTGCAGGCGTCCCGTGGGTGTTGCAGGCGTCCCGTAGGTGGGGCAGGCGTCCCGTGGGTGGTGCAGGCGTCCCATTTATGGGGCAGGCGTCCCGTGCGTGGGGCAGGTGTCCCGTGGGGTGGTGCAAGCGTCCTGTGGGTGGCACAGGCGTTTCGTAGGTGGGGCAGGTGTCCCGTGGGGTGGTGCAGGCGTCCCGTGGGTGGCACAGGCGTTCCATGGGTGGCACAGGCGTTCCGTGGGTGGTGCAGGCATACTATGGATGGTGTAAGTGTCCTGTGGGTGGTGCAGGCATACTATGGATGGTGTAAGTGTCCTGTGGGTGGTGCAGGCATACTATGGATGGTGTAAGTGTCCTGTGGGTGGTGCAGGCATACTATGGATGGTGTAAGTGTCCTGTGGGTGGTGCAGGCTGCTAATGGAGAAAATACATAGTTCATAATTAAGGGTGGTAGATCCCCAGGCACAGACACCATAGGTAAAATATGGATAAATGAGTGAATAAAACAGAGTAACTAGCGCAGGGCGAGGTACATAGTATCTGACTTTGGAGAGATTGCCTACAGTTTTATAAACTTTTTAGTAATATTTTGTATATGGCAATGGAAATTTAATATGTTGTCAATGTGAACACCAAGGAACTTCCCTTCTACTCTGCTCATAATATGGGTGTTGTTTCTAAGAACATGGAAGTAGCTGCTACATAATATCTGATGTAATTCCTACATATGGTGTAGATGGCTAGAGTGGGGTATGGTTAAATCATATGCAGGCATTTCAACCAAGGTTACCTGGTTGATACCTGGTTGATGGGGTTCTGGGAGTTCTTCTACTCCCCAAGCCCAGCTCGAGGCCAGACTTGACTTGTGAGAGCTTGGTCCACCAGGCTGTTGCTTGGAGCGGCCCGCAGGCCCCCATACCCACCACAGCCCGGTTGGTCTGGCACTCCTTGAAGGAAACAATCTAGTTTCCTCTTGAAGATGTCCACGGTTGTTCCTGTAATATTTCTGATGCTTGCTGGTAGGACGTTGAACAACCGTGGACCTCTGATGTTCATACAGTGTTCTCTGATTGTGCCCATGGCACCTCTGCTCTTCACTGGTTCTATTCTGCATTTTCTTCCATGTCGTTCACTCCAGTACGTTGTTATTTTACTGTGCAGATTTGGGACCTGTCCCTCCAGTATTTTCCATGTGTATATTATTTGGTATCTCTCGTCTCCTTTCTAGTGAGTACATTTGGAGAGCTTTGAGATGATCCCAATAATTTAGGTTAATTTCTAATTATGAATACTTTATATATTGTTAAGTTAGCATAGGTAGGGTTAGGTTAGATTAGTTTTAAAACCTGTTGGTAAACCATCTTGGGTTTGATGTGACTTGTATCCCGAGGGCGGTGTGGGTGACGTGAGTGGTGCGGATATCCAGTGGGTGTGTAAGGGGGCTGTGGGTGGCTTAGGTGATAGTACATGTGGCTGGGGGTGGCATGGGTTAGCTGGGGCAGTAGTATATGTAAAGATCCAGGACATAACCATACTACATCACTGATCACACACCTTACACAGGGTTCAATATATATATATAACAAAGAAAAGCCAAGTTCTCTGCTATTTTCATGATCTTGTCTATGTATTGGTTAGGTTTGTTGAAAGAGTAGCCAGGGTGATATAGGTTAATTATACTTGCAGCCCCAGCTTGTGGGTGTTGGCACCCATGTGGGTGGTTGTGAGTGTTGGCACCCTGTGGCTTGTTGTGTTGGCACCCTGTGGATGGTTGTGGGTGTTGGCACCCTGTGAGTTATTGTGTTGGCACCCTGTGAGTTGTTGTGTTGGCACCCTGTGAGTTGTTGTGTTGGCACCCTGTGGGTGTTGGTACTCTGTGGGTATTTGAGAGTTATCTTGAGATAACTTTGGGGCTTAGTGTCCCTGCGGCCCGCTCCTCGACCAGGCCTCCTTTTTGTTACACACCCCCAGAAAGCAGCCCATAGCAGCTGTCAAACACCTAGGTACCTATTTACTGCTAGGTAACAGGGGCATCAGGGGGAAAGAAACTTTTTGCCCATTTATCTTCGCCTTCACCGGGGATCAAACCCGGAACCTCAGGACTACGAATCCGAAGCGCTGTCCACTCAGCTGTTAGGCCACCCCACCAGGGTGTTGGCATCCTGTGGGTTGTTGTGTTGGCACCCTGTGAGTTGTTGTGTTGGCACCCTGTGAGTTGTTGTGTTGGCACCCTATGGGTTGTTGTGTTGGCACCCTGTGAGTTGTTGTGTTGGCACCCTGTGGGTTGTTGTGTTGGCACCCTGTGAGTGTTGTGTTGGCACTCTGTGAGTTGTTGTGTTGGCACCCTATGGGTTGTTGTGTTGGCACCCTGTGAGTTGTTGTGTTGGCACCCTGTGAGTATTTGAATGTGATGGTAGCCTGTGGCTGGTTGTATATGTGTTGGTAGCCTGTGGGAGGCTGGGGTAGAGTGAGTGACCCCCCACTCATCCTCTAGCTTAGGAAGTGCACTACTCTAAGGGTTCATGTCAGTTTCTACCACCTATAATTTCTTTGAATTGAATTTAAATAGAGCTGTATCAGTGGTTTGCTTGCTAATTAATCTTTTTTCCAGTTAGGCTCTGCCTAATATGTTCCAGTTGCCAAAGGCAGGAAGCCTCTTAGGCTTATTGAGGTTCACCAGCTAACAACTGACCATTTCCCAGGATACAACCCACACCAATCAACTAACTTTCAGGTACCTATTTACTGCTTGGTGAAGAGAGGCATCGGGAGTAAGGACACATGCTCAATCATCTTCCCTGTCTTGGAAAAGAACCCAGGACCAGTACGTTGTGAGCCGACTGTGCAGACCACTGATTTTAATTGTAATCTAAATCATGTATAAATAAGTCATTAATTTAAGAAAATTCATCTCGTGTTGATATTAGCCCTACTGGTATATCCTCAAGTGTTTTGTACCCCACTGGATACTGTACAGACCATTCACACAGGAGACAGTTTGCATATAGATTTTAAAATCTAATTAACCAGTGATATACAATAATGTGAAGTGTGTTGTTGGCTATAGTGAGGGTATAAAGTTAGTCAATGCAAAATATATAATTTTTTAATAAGAGTTTTTATGAATGAAACTACAAAATGTCCAAAATGCTGCTGTATAAAATTATTGTACTTTGTATCCAACATGAGTGTTCCCCATATTCAATGTTACAGCTAGGCAACACAAACTGTTAAGTGACTAATTCATGTCTCAATAAAAATTATATGCTGTTAGAGTTTATTGAGGTCTTCCAAAAAGTTTAGGAACCTAAAGTATCCTTTTACCAATTTTTCTTATCAAGTAAATTAATATTTATAATAAGTTGTGGTAATCATAGAGCAACTCAACTGGTTTGGTTTCATTATAAAAGGTTGTGGGTGCTAGTAATTGACTCATCTCTGCGATCATCACTGCTTTTGTTTTTCATGATGAGTTGGATGAGGTGGGCAGGTTTTAATTTATTAAATCTTGTTCTCATTTAATTTATCAACTCCCTTCATTTGATTCTAAAACAATACTGTATTTTAAAGAATGAAAAGTAGGAAAGGGATATATTGCTCTCTTGGACCTCTCAGGGATAGGCCTAGGTGGCTATGGATCTATGGGTGTACAGTACTTTTTTTTCAAGTTTATCCTTTGCAAAGGATATTTTGTGATTACCTTTAAGTTTGTGAGCTCATTTATTTAACCTAACTGAAGGGCACAGAGGGGAAGTGTGCCTTCCCCCCTCTGTGTATTGGAAAAAAAATAAGTTGTAGACTATGGAACTGCAGTACAGGTACTCTTGAAATTTCAGCAAGAAAATTCTAGTAACAGATTGGCATCCCTTAAATACCATCCCCCTCCGACCCCCCTCCCATCTCATCCCTGTAAATCTATTTTTCTCTATTTTTCCGTTATCCCCTATTTTGAGTGGCTGAATTTTCTCTTGCAATTTATTTACAGGGGTAAATTAAAAGTGGATTGCATCGTTAGCAGCAAAGAAGAACTTTATAAGGTAAGGGACTGAAGTGCACCTCCATCCGAGAGGTTAATCTCACAGGCAACCCATCTCTTAGGCATTTTGGCTAGGCAGGAAAAGTCATGTAATGATGGCCTGGATTTTGGAACTACTGTAGTTATTTCTAGATGCATTATTTGGTTTTCAGGCTCAGAAAACAAAGAATAAAAGTAATTATAGAAAACTCAGGCCAAGACTGCCAAAATGTAGCGCTGCCATATTAAAGGGGTAACTGAATGTTTAATGATTAAACCTTTTTTTTTTCTGTTATATGGACATATAATAAAATATATGCACTGCACTTTTTATATTGTCAGTGATGTAGTCCTAAATAATAATGTTGAAATTAAATTTGAAAAAAAATTACCTGTACCAAATTGTTTAGATGCAGTATATATTACCTTCGAAATGTATCCACCTCTTATTGAGCACTGCTGTACCTCAGCTGGTGTTAGTTAATGTATTTGACCTCCAATGATGTCTCGTGTTAAACTTGCAGGAGTTTTAAAACTTTCTTTTAGTTTTCCACATTATCAAGGGAGTGCAATCATTTTCAAATCCTGTGGCAATGAATAATTGCAGCTGACTTCGATATATATATACAGTATATATATATAATATATATATATATATATATATATATATATATATATATATATATATATATATATATATATATATATATATATATTATATTATTATATATATATATATATAATTTGGTAGCAGTCTTTCTTGTAAACATATATTATTAAATATGACCGAAAAAGTAAGATTAATAATTCTGACACGAATTTTCTCAATACAGTATTTCTTATGTTTCTTTTCACTGTCGATGGTAATTGAAAAATCAATTCTCCAAAATTCATTTTTATTTCTAGTCTGACGCGACACTTGAACACGTTTCGTAATAACTTATTACATTTTCAAAGACTTTAGTTTACACACACACAACTATAACCTGCAAACACTAAACAGAGTTCTACTATGCTACCATTTAAACAACTTTCATCTTATATACCCGCATTTGGGTGAGGTGATACGTTACAACAGTTTTGGATGAGGTGAACAAAACTTTCAACACAAGACAGAACTTAAAACTGGGTATAAATTGGGTAAATTAAAGGGAAGAATGGAAGTAACTGCAAAGTGCCTATTGGCCCATATTTCTTGATGCTTCTATATTGTTGCGGAGTCTTGAAGTGGGTAGAATATAGTTGTGCATTAATTGGCTGTTGATTGCTGGTGTTGACTTCTTGATGTGTAGTGCCTCGCAGATGTCAAGCCGCCTGCTATCGCTGTATCTATCGATGATTTCTGTGTTGTTTAAGATTTCTCTGGTGATGGTCTGGTTGTGGGAAGAGATTATATGTTCCTTAATGGAGCCCTGTTGCTTATGCATCGTTAAACGCCTAGAAAGAGATGTTGTTTTATATAGGCAAGACAACAACATTGCAGAAAAACGAAATTAATTTTTTTAAAGAAAGAACAAATGTCAAAAAGGTTCGTTCGGTGTTCGGTAGGTAGGCTGCTCCATGTTTCTTAAATAAAAAAAAAATAAAAAATAAAAAACAGTTGAAACAATTTGAAAATCGGACAAATGCCATAAAGGTTCGTTCAGTGTTTGTCGGGTAGGCTGCTCCATTATTGAGAAATAAATGAAAAAATACAAAACAAATGGAACACATTTGAAACACAGAAAGATTGTCATAATGTAGCAGCCTACCCGCCAAACACTGAACAAACCTTTATGACATTTGTCTGTTTTTCAAATTGTTTCAACTGTCTTTTATTTTTTTTATTTTTTATTTAAGAAACATGGAGCAGCCTACCTGCCGAACACCAAACAAACCTTTTTCATTTTTTTATTTTTTTTTAAGAAACATGAAGCAGCCTACCTGACAAAGACCGAACAAACCATTTGCTATACAAAAAATGAAAAAAAAAATTGAATAAATTTGAAGAAAGAAAAATGTCAAAGGTTTGTTCAGTGAATGTAAGGTAGGTTGCTTCATTATTCAAAACATCAAATATCATATTGATGTTTTTCGGTGGTAGAACGGATTATTTCTATTTACATTCTTTTCAATCGGGAACTTTGTTTTGAATGACGTCAGTTTCATACGAATGTGCCAGAACGGATTGAAGTTGTTATTCAAGGTTCCATTGTATGTATATATATATATAAATATATATACAGTATACTGTATATTACAGTAGTAAACAATACAATGAATAGTGAAAATAAAATAATGGCTGAAAGTAAAATGCGCTTGATACTTTTGGGGTATGCCGGTTACATTTTGCAAATGTGTGCGCTAGCCACCATAATTGTCTCTTGGTGCCTTGTTTGTTTCAGCACTTTTTTTTTCACAGTTCTCTTCCCTGGCACCATCAGCAAACCTTTTTAACCACCTTATTTTAACTTATTTCCTGAGGTAGCGTCTGTGACTTGGTTGCCAATGTATGATCTGTGTGAAGGAGATGTGTAGATAATTGTGTGATAGGCTATGTGTTGTGTTTAGTTCACAGTCATGCAAGCGTCTGAGCATTGCATCTATAATTGTTTCTGCACTTGAGTGTTGAGTGAAGTGATCTTTCCATTCTTCTCATAGCACTGTACACACTCATTTTGCTAAGTTAAAATGGATGTTGATATTTGGCAGCTTTAGATACTACAGTACTCAATCCGGGCAGTTTTACCCATTGACTGTTTGGTCCAGATTGTCCAGTACCTGTACATCGGGAAGTTGTTCCTCCCGATGTACATGTAGAGAAGCATCCCAGGATGCTTCTCTGCATGTTTTGACACTGATGGCCATTTGATGGCCATTTATGTTGTCTGTCACTTGTGTCATTGCTAGACCTTTTGTGTTTTCCAAACCTCCCTCTTGGGTGGTGACCTTCCAGGCAGTGGTCCTTGGGTTAGCGTGTATCTTATACTGCAGGCTTTTGCTTTTCCCCATCTGTTACTGGCATAAAGATGAAGTGATTCCATTTTCTTTTTTAAGGTTGGCTTTTGATTCCCTGGTCTTGGATAATTCTGCTAGATTCAGACCTTCCTCTGTGGCTTATGCTTTGAGCAGTGGGGTTCCTTAAAGTAAGACTGTTACTTGTTCAGCCTCTCAGCCCCTGTCACTGGCTAAAGTGCCATTCTGCCCCTGGGTCATATTAAAGGTGACAGAAGTGTTGACTAGTGAGACAGAGCCCTCTCTTTCCTCTTGTGTCCCCCTTCTTGTTCATGGAGGACTCTTCATTTACACATTTGTTGGGGGGGAGAAGAGGAGAACCTTTGGAGTTGGCACTACATCTTCTTTGCTCTATATTGGCCTGGTCAGGTTTAGAGTTAGGCTTCAACTAGCCGAGACTGTAAACCAAGCATAATACAGTAGTTAGATGAATATTTGTGATTATACTGTACCAATGGTCATGCTGTTACTGGCCCAGATGTATTTTTGGTTAATCAGTCTATCAAATCCTTAGTACAGGTTTCTTTATATTGAGCATTGATGAATGTAAGATGAACAATAAGGAAGACTGTTTTCATATTGTAAAAGTAAAGATAATAATTAAGTTGAATTTTAAGATACAGCATAAAAAATTAAAAGTACAGTAATAAAAATATCTGAAGAATTAAATAATGCCAAGTTCCTATAGATTAATATTTGTTTATTTATAGCTTTGCAGTATTTGTAGTTGAGGATAGTTTCAAGATTTTTGCTGAAGTGACATGGTTGAAAGTACAATGGAAGATGCACTCTAAAATTGCCAGAGGTACAAGATAATTATGAAGAGAAAGTGCTAAGCCTTCACAGCATACAGTACTGTACCTATAAAACACTCGGAAGGAATATAATGATGAACTAGGATATGAGGATGGAGTGAAGGAACAGAGCCAAACCACTTTGACAATCAGGGATCAAACACATGTCCTGCAAGAGCTGAGTCCATAGCTCTACGGACCAGTCCAAGTGGATGAACCAAAAGTGCCAGAGTGAATGGCGATTTAAGAATCTCCTTGATGATCAAATTTACTGTGAGGTCCATGAAGCATTCATGACAATTAAATTTATTATTAGTTTTGCAACTGAAATGCTTTGGATGTACAGTTTATGTGACTATTTCTAAGTGGCATTTTATAAATGGTAGGAATAGTCAAGATATATATATTTACTGGATTAAGAAGTTGCCTGAAATGTAAAATTAAGTAAACATTCTAACTTTAGTTCTGTACCCACAAAATATGTCCATTGTGTGCTATTATTATTCATGTGCAGTATTAACACGTATTATTTATGACACAGGTACTACACATAATTTTTTTTTGTTTAATCTTCAGAAATGTGAAGAACATCCAGAAGCTGAATCAACGGGAACTGGAACTTGGAGTGAGCGTGAAGAACTCGTGGCATCAACAATATCGTGACAGCGCCTGGGTTTTTCTTGGTGGACTCAACTATGACCTCACTGAGGGTGACATTGTTTGTGTCTTTTCTCAGTATGGGGAGGTAAGAGGATACTTGCTTGTTTTAGGTAGTACATTTAGGAAAATACTTTTCTGAAACCTGTAGAAGAGGATTTAAATGTATTTAGTAAAAATTACACAAAATTTAGACATTTTAAGGTTTAATTTTTGCAATATGCCTTAGGCACCAAATTAAGCATTAAAAGTAAAAACTGGGTACAGTACCATATTGGGATTAAAGGTTAAAAAAAATTAAGTAATATGCAATGATTTTGAAAATTTATAGTAATAAAACCTGTCATAATTTCTTATCTGACAAAAGAATTATATTGGCTACAAAATCAATACTGAGTACTCTCAGCATTTTATGTTCTTTACAACACACTGTAATCATTGCACCCTTATGGTCATTACTCCAATTTGAATCCTGAGATATGTCGGCTCGGGGATATCCATCATTAACTATGATCAAAACATACTTAGTTTGGACAGGTTTTGCGATGCTGTCTAACATTATTACAGAGTAGGTTACAGAAATGCATAATGTGAATATAAATTTAATAATAAGATTGTTTAGTGCTGCCTGCTGACTTTGTGGGTGGGTGGAAATGGTTAAATTTATATAGATGTGAGTGAGGATATAAAATCAAGACTCTGCCTGTGCTTTGTAAGTTAGGACAATTATCATATACACCTTTGATTATGTTGATAGCTTTTCTTGGTGCGCTGTCTTTCATTAAACTTAATGTGCTTCTCATACTTTATCAAATTCTTTGGAAAAGGCAATGAGGCAGGGAAATATGTAGAATGTAAGTCACAATAACATGGCTGAAAATTTAGACACCCAATGCACAAGTATGAAAATAAAGAAAGTGACTATGTTTCAGTCCGTCTTGAAAGGATTTGATTATAGTCCAGGATGGACCAGAATGGTATTAAGGAGTTTATTTTCATATTTGTGAGTTGGGTGTTGATATGTTATATATGAAGTAATGATTGGCAGTCATAACATGGGAGATACCAAGGGAAATGAGACTTTTTCATAAGCTTCTCAAAGATGCACTGTTTTTTTCTAGACAGTTTATTGTGAAGGCTAAGGCATTTAACATAATATTTGAAAGGGCAAAATATGAGTCTGAGCTAGTTGCCTATTTTACAAGGTGGCTGAAAAAAAGGAAATATGTGACAGCGTAGAATTTAATTTGTGGATTACTGATACATTTGGTAATTGAACAGTCCTCGTGGTGTAGTGGTTAAAACGCTCGCCTGGCGCTTTGTCCTGGGTTCGTATCCTGGCCGGGGAGGATTTACTGGGTGTCAATCCTTAACTTGTAGCCTCTGTTTAACTCACCAGTAAAATGGGTACCTGGATGTTAAACGATTTTTCATGAGGTCGTATTCCAGGAAACATAGGATTAAGGATTTGCCAGAAATGCTACGCGTACTATTGGCTGTATAAGAATATAAGAACTCTTGTATATATAAATAAATAAAAAATAAAATAAGTAAATAAATAAACTGTGCAAAGAAGTTTGGTGCAAGCGTTGTGAGCCCTAGAGTGGAGGTATCTATGCAGCCTGTTTTCTCGAGCATTCACGACATGACTAAACTGATGTACTAAATTGCCTGAACTTATCCCAATTAAACTTTCTGAGGACACACCAATAGTAAACGGGACATCACATCACTTTTGTTAGCCACTTTGATTATAGTACATCAGTTTTTGGCCTTAGGGGATTTATGCATCAAAATGCAAAGTACTATTCAGGAAAACAGGTATATCTGTGAGCTTCCCAAATTAGGAACACTGGAAGTAGCAGTAGAAGAAAGGAAAGGAAAACTATGTAGCTTGAGACCAATGATTTTGCATTGTGATAAGTCAGTTTATAAAATAGTAGCTTTTCATTTGTGTGTGACTACCTTTGTTATAGACTAGTTTAACGACCAATGCCTTGTAGGAAGTAACTGCATTAGAGCTTTCATCATGGGCATTGGTAATTAAGAGTTTATTGAGATCCAATTGTTTGTAATTGATATTCACTCATATACTAAATTTACAGAATTAATCCCAACAGATTGTCAACATTAACTTGGTGCGAGACAAAAAAACAGGAAAGAGCAAAGGTTTTGCCTTTTTGTGTTACGAAGATCAACGCTCTACCATTCTTGCTGTGGATAACCTGAATGGCATTAAGGTAAGCATTATCCATTAGCAAAAGATGGGGCTGTTCTTTGCTTGAAATATTCTTTTATGATGAATAACAAGTATAGATATTTTATGCTAACTTTATTAAAACCAGGAAATGAAATGGTATATTTGGAGACATTTTAGTTATCTTCCAAGCATTATTACTCAGTTATTCAAAAAGACTTTTCTAGTCTCTTTTCCCCATAAACACAATGGATTCCCAGTTGAACAGAAGAACATTCTCCTTCATGTGTTTGTGCATTTCTCTTTGCCTGTCTTCAGCCCTACGGACCCAATGTAGCCGAGTTATTTTTGTGTCAGGTCATTATTGCATTCTGTTTGAATGTTTATTTTTCTTCTACTTTTTCCTTTCATTGTAACCTTGGAACTTGGGTCCATCTACAGATGTTTTGGACAAGTCTTACATTTGGGTGTATTCTTCTGATTTGTAGCTGTGTACCAGGCGGTTTATCATCTGCCCCTTACTGCAGCTTCAAATTGCTTTCACCTTTTGGGCCCACAGGTACCTGTGCCAGTATCTCTGAAGCTGAGTGCAAGTTTTCTGCTACCCTGGAAAATGTGTTCTGTTGGTAGGAGAATGGAGTAGAGCCATCAGCTGCCCTTCTGTCTGTAGAGGGGCTGCTTGTTTTCTCCCAAGAGGAATTGGGAGGAATTTTTTTGTATTTTCTGACACAAATGTTATATGGAATGGTGTTCCTGGCCTAGACTCCTCTTGTTAGCCTTCCACTTTTCTGGTAAGGAATATAGTTCAGTTGGAAGCATTGACTGCAAATGATGGCTTGCCTTTAATCCTGGCTTACCTATAATCCTTCTGGGGATTTGGTGGCCAGACTTGTAAGTATTTTTCTCCAGCTTGGGTAGCTACTTTAACCTCCATCCCAATTTTAGTGTGATTCCTCCATTTATCTGCTTCATGTTTGGTTCCTGGTGCTGGTGGAGAGCAGTGATGTTCAGATTCTATACAGGTTCTCTCTTTCCCACCTTCCTGATCTGCACGGTGAACAAGACTTGTTTATGTTACTGGATAAGATATATGATTCAGAATTGAACCTGACTCTTGGAATTTGGGTCTCGATCCTCTTCCTGATTATGTTACCAGGTTCCCGGTTATGTTACCAGCTTCCTGAACCCTCATAGCTGGCAAACAATTCTTTGTTTTATGGAGGGAAGGAGAGATTTTTCTGCTGGTCCCAGATGCTTGAAGTGGTGGTGGTTTATCCCATCCTTAATGTTATTCTAAATGAAGTGAAGAAGCTGTTGATCAACTGGGCCCTGAACATTCCTATCTTACTGCATGACCTGGTGTGTTCACTTTGCCTCTTGGCACAGTACAGTGTCTAGTTTTCGCTGATTATAAGAACACTCACTTGGGAGATGTGTTTCAGTTCTGCTTTCCAAGTTTTTTTCTAATCTGGACTTTATTCAGAGTTGGGTCAGCTTCAGGGATTGGAGTCCTTGTCATTTCTTTTTGTTCAGCCTCCACTTCTGCTGCCATCTTGCCCAAGTTGCTCCCTCCCATCCTGCATGATATAATGGTGGGTTTCATCACTGGACAAGGTAGGGTGTTTGTGGTGATGGTTTTCCTTGCAGGTACTTTTCCTAAGCCACCTTCACATTTTGGTTAGACCCTGTCAAGTAAAGCCTGTTGTTGGGAATTTGTGACGGGACAGCTCTTTCAGTCTCGTATGCTTTTTAACATCTTGGCGTGGGGAAATCTGCACTTCCAGAATTCAGACAGTTTACTTATGAAGATAGGTTAAATATCCAGAAGCTTTCTAAACAAGATGATAGAAGAAACTGTGAGGGATATAATCACCACATAAAATAATGTCCTCTTATACAGCACTTTACAATGTTTAACCACTGCACTGTGCCAAACAACGAATGCTGTTTTGAGAGTTATCTGTTTTTTTTTAATTAGGCTATATTTTAATGTTTTCATCACTGTGTGTTTTCAAATGAAAATAGTTGAGTTTGGAATCATTTTGACATTAACTTTACCTGAACATTTATAAAAACCACAAAAATCTGTCCTTAACAATTGCACTATGAAGTTTTTGCCAAAAACAGGTGCACAGTGCAGGGGGTTAAATCAGTGGTTCCAACTTGTGGGTTGCAACACCACACTCCACTCCTGGATGTGATAAACATGAACATGGTGGAATTCAGGATGATAAGTGTAGGTTTAAGAGTAGGGAAGGTGATAAAAGAACAGACCCACCAGAAATTCCAAGTACTAGTATATCTGAGTCATCAAGAATTAGCTAGGGGTGAGTATTCTGATTAGGCAAGTTTTTCAATTGTGAAAGTGTGGCAGGTCTAGAGTATTGGAAAATAGGGCCTTGAGTCTAAAAACCTTTGAGAAGCACTGGTCTAAGTGATAAGGAATTTTTTCTGGGGGGAGCCCCTTCGGCTCCCCGGAGCTATCCAGGCTGATAGGCTAATGTCAGACTTTGGCATCAGTCATGTGTATGGAGTTCTGTGGGCCTACAGGGGACCATGAGCCAGAACCTGGCCCCCCCTCAGAGGCATGGGGAGCAATGACCTATAGAAACCCCTGTGTGGTTGGAAGCATTCTATGTCTGCCATCTATGTCTATGCCTGCCTGCTATGTCTGCCATGTCTGGGTGCCTGGGTCAGGCACCCAGAAAGGTAAGAATCCCAAAACAAACCTTTGTTCTGGTGAAATTGTTACCAAAAGCCAAACAAGTGGATAGAACTCCCCAAAAAGAAACAACCAAATGAGCATGATGTCACACGTCGCCACGCTGCTGTCTGTGCAGTTCACCCCCCCCCCCCCCCCTCCCCAGGAGGGGAAAGGGGGAGCCCCAGACCCCTGCGCCGGCTATCCACCCTTCAGTTCTAAGGCTGCTAGAGGCGAAGGCCATGTGCTCTGGTTCCAGTGATTTTCAGCACTGTGCTTTGAGTGGGGTGAGTGTCCTCCAGGGGTTGCACGAGCCAGGAGTTATTCTACAGTACTCTGGCTGCATGCGCCTAGGGTTATTATCCCTATGTGCTCTGTAAGTACTGCCCTTGGGGCTTGGGGTTACCTTCCACAAGTTCCTTGGCTTTGGTAGGCCGATTTACTGCTCGAGTTTAGATGGTCTTGAGACTCTGGCAGTCTCAAGGGTTGCCCCTTCTGGTGTGGTGACGGAGGCATTCGAGTCCGATTTCCCTGCTGAAGTCTCTGGGTCTGACCAGTGGGCCCCCTTCCGTCCGGCTTACACAGCTGCGCCGGGGTTCGATGCAGTCCTTGGCTCTTAAGTGCTGATCACTTCGGGTGACTCGTCTGCTGAGTTCTCGGGGTTTGGCTCTTCTGGCAGTTCACGTGCGGAGAGTGTCCAATGTCTTGGCGGATGGCCTGTCTCATTTCGTTCCCCTGTCCAGGGAATGGACGGTCGACGCCAACTCTTTCTGTTGGCTCTGCCAGACGTTCGTGCACTCCAAGGTGGACCTCATCGCGTCGGCGTGGTTGCGGCGCCTTCCGCTGTATGTGGTGCCCTTCCCCGAATGCGAGGCTATCGGGGTCGATGCTTTTCAGCAGGACTGGTCGAGGTGGAGGTTCCTGTACCTCTTTCCTCCGGTTCAGCTGTTGCTCCAGGTCCTGACTTGCTTGGAGACTTACCAGAGGAGAGTAGTCCTCTTGGCCCTGTGTTGGCCGGCCCAGCTGTGGTTTCAGGTGCTGCTTGCTCGGTGTCTGAACTCGGAGATTTTCCCGTGGCTCTGCCTCTTCCAGCAGATCAGAACGGAGCGTCACGTGGCTGGATCGATCTTCTCCTCGAGTCTTCGCGTATGGTCTTTTTGACTCCCGTTTATCATCATCATTATGGTAATCAGGTGGCTTCCTTGTTAGTGTCCCACCTGCGGGCTTCGTCTTGGCGACAGTATGAGGTTTCCTGGCGGTCCTTCTGGTTCTTTTTTGACTCTTCGCCGTTGTGCTTCGCTTTCGGTTCGGGTGGTGTTGTCCTTTCTCTTGGTTGTTCCAGGACCGTCATCTTATGCCAAATACTGTCGCCTAGTATCGTGTGGTGCTGGCAGAGCCATTTCAGCTTGCTTTCAGGAATTGATGTAACTTCTGCACTATTTCGCAAGCTGTCTCGTGCATTGTGTCACATCTGGCCTGCTCATGGGCTACCTGAGCCATCCTGGTCATTGGACAGGGTGCTCTCTTTTCTCCTCGTTTTGTTGTGGCCCCTTCGGTTCCCGATTGTTTCTCGAAAGTTCTTTTCCTGTTGGCATTAGCCTCTTGGGGTCGGGCCAGGGTGCTTCATGCTCTCCTCCGGCGCATGGGTGTCTGCTCTTTCGGTCGTGGCGATCGGTTTGTTCGTCTGCAGCCTCCTTTTCTGGCGAAGAATGAGACTACTGCCTTCCGGAGGGGTCCTTGGGTTGTTGATGCATGGTTGATCAGGCCGGGGGTGCATCATGTTTTGTGTCTGGTTGTGGCCCTCCACAACGCCATGGCTTCTGTGTCCAGGGACACGCTTTGAGTTGATCCGGTCTCCCTTCTTCCCTTTTCACGGGTGCGGGTCTCCCAGGTCGTCCGCAGGGTTATTAAGGTTAGCCAGCCTGCGGTCTATCCCCGTGCCCATGACGTTCGTAAGTTTGCTGCTCTTGCTGCCATTTTGGCAACATGTCCTGGGGTGACATTCGGGCGCGGGGTTTTTGGCAGTCGAACAGGATCTTGGCTGCGCATTCCCTCATGAACGTTCCTGAGCCTAGTCGGGCCTGTGTCGCTTTGGGTCGGCTGTTGCAGCCAGTTGTCTCGACCTCGGGTTGAGGAGTGAGCAGCGACCACCTCCCGGGTAAGTCCCTCTACTGTTCTTCTGTGGGTAATTAGCTCCAGGGACCCGAAGGGGCTCCCCAGAAAAGCAGCATTGAATGTAATGAAACGCTATTTTCTGGGTGAGACCCGGAGGCTTCCCGGTATCCCTCCCTTCCCCTGGTTCGCGGTTTTTCGCATGTCTTGACATCCAGCCTCAGAACTGAAGAGTGGATCACCCGGGTGGGGGTTTGTGTCTTCCCCCTCCCGGGGAGAGGGGAGCTGCGCAGACAGCGGCGACGTATGACATCATGCTCATTTGCTTGTTTCTTTATGGGCAGTTCTATCCACTTGTTCAGCTTTTGGTAGCAATTTCACCAGAATAGGGGTTTGTTTTGGAATGCTTACCTTTCTGGGTACCTGATCCGGTCGATGGTAGACATAGAATGCTTCTAACCACATGGGGGTTTCAATAGGCTATTACTCCCCATGCCTCATCTGAGGGGGCCAGGTTCTGGCTTGTGGTCTGTGGTAGGCCCACAGAACTCCATACACATGACTGATGCCAAAGTCTGACATTAGCATATCAGCCTGGATAGCTCTGGGAGCCTCTGGGTCTCACCCAGAAAATGGCGTTTCATTACATTCAACGCTGGTTTCTTGGTTATATATTTGGTGAATAAGTTTTTTTTTGTTATGATGGCAATGCTGTAGCTGGCAAGTCGCACTATTCGAGTTGACCACGTTGAAGAATACAAGGTGCCCAAAATGACTGAGGACATGATGCCAGAGCAGCAGAAATTGGCCATGGAGGGATGTGCTCCACAACCTGTCGCAGTGACACCCGAAGACCACGACGGGGACTTGCAAGTCAAGGAAGGTAACAACTGTGCCAATATTGCAATGAAATCTTAACCTTCCTTCAGAGACAGTGCATTAAACACTAGTTTGTCTGGTATCTTCTCAGTAAACTGTTTGACGGTGTTTTCTCCTTGTGGTCATTCCATTCAAGAACACTGCTTGATGCACCACATAATGCCTTAACTCTTATTTCTCCCAGCATTTCCTTGTTTCATTTTATCTATTTGTCTTTATCTTTTTCTTCGTGCTTCTATTTGCATCTCTACCTTTCTGGTGGTGGTTGTTTGTCTGTAGCTTACCTGTTGTTGGTTTTGAGAGTTCTCTATAAGCCCTCTCCACCTTCATTGTCATTTTTTATCACTATCATCTTTATCATCATCATAATCACCAGTGTTGTCATCTTAATCATTGCCATGGTCTCCATTGTCAATTTTATCTTGATCCTTTGTCATCATTCTCATTATTGTCGTAGTTGTTACCAACGTCATCTTCATTGCTGTTATTGTTGCCATCTTCATTATTGTCATTACCATTACATTACCACTCATTAGTTTATTATTATTCTCCTTCTCTCCCTTTTTTTCTCTTTTCACTCTTCTACCTTCCTCCTTCTCTTCCTCCTCTTCCTCTTCCTCCTCCTCTTCCTCCTCCTCATCTTAATCTTTTTTTCTCCCCTTCCTTCTCTCCCCTCTTTTTTTTCTTCTCTTCCATCATCCTTCCCCTACTTTGTATACCTCCTATTTCTTCCCCCTCTTAATAAAACATTGTTAAACCCTGTTAAGATCATGCAGTTCAGCTTTGATATCTGTATTATAGAGTACATATAAACTCACTCTAACGTGTACAGAGAAGAATGATACATTTAATCTCAGCAAGTAGAAACTTTTCTTAAGATGAGAGAGAGAGAGGAAAAAAAACTCTAAGAAGACAGAGTAAGGACTGACATAACAAAAGTACAGTACTGTACTGTACTGTATATACTGGATAAGAATGAAAGGGGATATTAACCACTGTGCTGCGCCAACTGAGAAAACTTGGTCAGTTGGAAACTATGCCAACCGAGAAAACACTTTTTGAATATTTCGTACCCATTCAAAATGTGTGCGCGGTACTGTAGGTTGTGTACGAAATGGACTCTTAGGACCTCCAGTGAGAGGCAGCCGTCTTGGAAAGAATTCCCAGAATGCCCTAGGGCTGCTGGCTGGGTTAGTACTGAGTGAGCAACCATGGGTGGCGCACGTGCCTCTGGCTCTTAAACACCTGTCCAACGCGGTGTTGAAAGATCGCGCTCTGTCGGTAAAATTCAGACCTTATTATTTGAAGAATATAAGGGTCATGATATTGGTGAACAAGGACCTAATGCAAAGGTCGGATGCAAGTGATACAGCACCTATGAAGACGATACAGCGAGCGTATCCAGTTGTAGCTCTGAGCACCACCCTTGCCCACCTATGCCATCTCTAATTTATATAGATGATACATAGATGAATCGTTTTCTTGGTTCAGTGATGATGCATCTGATACAAGTAGCATAGATTAACAGTGTTAGTGACTTTCATGGTGGTGTTCTCCATGGATATTTTCTAGAATAGCTGAATCTCTTCCAGAATGACTGAATCTCTTCCAGAATGGCTGAATCTCTTCCAGAATGGCTGAATCTCTTCCAGAATGACTGAATCCCTTCCAGTGAAGGACCTTACTAAGCGATCTTTTCAAGACTACCTTACAAATTGATCTTTTCCTATAATCTTTTCAAGACTACCTCACGCTTTACAAGCTTGGCTACATACCACCTACAAGTACTAAAGCCAAGGGTGTACGTGAGTGCGTTATTTGCAAGCACACAGAACTAAGAAACAGGAAGCGAAAATATATCTGTACCTGGTGCAACGAGAGCGAACTGTACCATGGACTACTTCGTTGATTATTACTCACTTCCGAAGTACTGAGTATGTAATACAGTGTGTTACTGTGTAAATAATGTGTGAAACTGTACATATTGTAATTTTAGTGAATTTTTAACAAGTAATATTACAACAATAAACATTTATTGTGGACACGTTACTGACACATGTATCACAATTCCATGGAACATTATGAACGTTCTACTGTATACATATTGTAAAGGATACAAATATGCATCATATATGATAAAAAAAATAAAACCACAGTGGAAATACATAAAACAAATAATTGAAAATATATTTGTGGCAACTCTCGGTGCTTGAATGGCTCGCACGACCATGTCTGGGAGCTTCACATACGGGCGACCAGCCCGTGATGACGTCACAGCGCACCTTGTCCATGTCCCCATAGCCAAATTAAGTGTAATTTGGTATTTATTTTTACAAGACATGTTCAGGGAAGGGAATTTATCATTTTACCATAATCTTTATCATAAAGTTGTAGATTTATGGAAGAAACTACCAGGCAACATAATAGAAGTAGAATTGCTGAATTGTTTCAAGTGTTGGTAAGGCATATATATGAATGAAGTTGAGTGGGTATAAATGGAAGTTGCCAATATGTTTTTTGTAGTTGTCTTTATTCTTGTGAATGAAAAATGCATAAAAATACAAAAGAATATTTGATTAAATAATTTATATTTCAAGATGAACATTAATTCTAAAATGTTAAATTACAATTTTACAGCAACAAAATTTTTCAGATAGACTTAGTTTAGTATAAGTAAAATTAGAATTAGACCCTCAGTGTTTTACCTTTTTTCAGAAAAATCTATTAAAAAAGAAAAAGTAGAAAAGGTGAAAGTGAAGAAAGAAAAGAAGAAAAAGAAGAAGAAAAGAAAGATATCATCCTCGTCAGGGAGCTTATCATCGTCTGACGACTCTGACGATGAAAATGAAAAGAAGAAGAAGAAGAAGAAAAAGAAGAAGAAGAAGAAGAAGAAAAGGAAGAAGGTAAAGGAAGACACTGATTCTTTGAGCAGTAGTGAAGACTCTAACCGGGAGGAAGAGCGGAGGTCGGGAAGAAGCAAGGAAAAGGCCGATGACGAGTCGGGAATCAAGGAAGAAAAGCACGATCCTGGATATGATAAATATGAACATGGTGGAATTCAGGATGAGGAGTATAGATTTAAGAGTAGGGAAGGAGACAAAGGAACAGACAGATACAGAGAGTTTCAGAGAGACAGAGGGCAGGAAAGATACCGAGAACAAGAGAGACACAGAGACCCAGATAGGTACAGAGAACATGAAAGGTACCGTGAGACATTCATCAGGGATAGCAGAGAGAGAGAGAGACGGCATGACCGGTACAAAGATAACACAAAGAGAGATAGTGAGAGTTATGGATCAAGTTACAGGGATGACCGTGACAGGGTCAGAGAGCACAGTCATTGGACTGGTGGCTCAGATGGGCGGTATAGAGGTCGAGGCAGAGGTCGGTACTTCGACGGAGATAGAGGCCGTGGGAGATTCTACAATGCCAACTATAATAGGCGAGGCAACTTTGGCCGAGGCAGAGGTGGGTTCAGGTTTAGGGGAAGAAGGTAGGAGAATGAATCATGTATGTGCATGTAATGAATATGAATACAGTATGTATATGTATGTATGTATATATGTGTGTGTGTATATATATATATATATATATATATATATATATATATATATATATATATATATATATATATATATATATATATATATATATATATATATATATATATATATATATATATATATATATATATATATATATATATATATATATATATATATATATATATATAAATGTGTGTAAATCACGAAAATTAACACGTGATGAACAAATGTGACAGTGTCAGACCACGAAGGAAGAATTGAAACAGGAATTTCCTTAAGTACTTTCGTATTTAATAAGATCCTTCTGAAGATGTATTATTAAATACGAAAGTACTTAAGGAAATTTCTGTTTCGATTCTTCCTTCGTGGTCTGACACTGTCATTTTCTATATATATATATATATATATATATATATATATATATATATATATATATATATATATATATATATCGTACCTATATAGTGTATGCGGTCAATTTTTTTTATTGGAGTTAAAATTAACGTAGATATATGACCGAACCTAACCAACCTAACCTAACCTAACCTATCTTTATAGGTTAGGTTAGGTTAGGTAGCCGAAAACGTTAGGTTAAGGTTATAGGTTAGGTAGTCGAGAAACAATTAATTCATGAAAACTGGCTTATTAGGCAAATCGGGCCTTGTATAAGGCTGATAAGTGCGTTCTGGCTAACACGTGATATAACAAATGTGACAGTGTCAGACCACAAAGGAAGAATTGAAACAGGAATTTCCTTAAGTACTTTCGTATTTAATATATATATTTGATCCTTCTGAAGATGTATTATTAAATACGAAAGTACTTAAGGATATTTCTGTTTCGATTCTTCCTTCGTGATCTGACACTGTCATTATATATATATATATATATATATATATATATATATATATATATATATATATATATATATATATATATATATATATATATATATAATAAATAAAGCAATTAGTGTGGTGAATGATGTGTGCATGACTGTCAGTCTGGTTAAGCCCTATAGGATTTGGCTAGTCATTGTTTGGGTGACCACTTTGCTAGACAGCTTTTTAGTTCATTACCACACTGTCTTTTTGACCAGCAGCTAGTTGTTCCAAGACTAAATATACAGTACAGTATTCTTATTGTACAAACACTTTGAGTTGCAAAAGTGTATGGTATTATTATCTGTGTGCACGCCTAGTGTCACGGCACTTGGAGTCTCCATAGGGCCGAACTTGGAGAATTAGGTATGCAATAAAATTGTGCGTTTCACATATGTGGCTATGTTTTGTGCAATAAAATTGGTCTTTAGAATTTCTGGTTTACATATAGAGGTGTGTGTGTGTGCATATGTACACACAGCATATTCTGATGCACTGTTCACCGAGTAATAGATGTCTTAGAAGATAGGAAGGCTTAAGATAACCATCTGTTTAATACCTGCGGTGCATATATATATACACACACACAATTTTTTTATCTTTTTTATGTTATTACATATGCACATACTGTACTGTACTGTATAAATTGCATAGCCTAAAGGGGGGAATTTAATGACAGTCATTTGTGATTTCTTTTTAGGCCAAATGAAATGTATGTTTTTGTTTTCTAGCTCAAACCATATTACTAATGGGAACTTATTAAGTATAATTCAGTATTTCTTTAGGTAAAGCGATGTACACAGCCATTTCTGCCTTTTTCTTAATTTTTGTTTCTACCTTAATTGGAGTTTGTATTGTATATTAATATGCATTTTTGTCTGACAAAATCAATTGCAAATACATCACAACAATCTGACTTATAACTTACACCTTACCTACTCCATTTTTTCATCAGTATTTTTTTTTTTATCTTTGTATAATGTGTATGTATGTATATGTGTATATATCTATATCTATAAGAGAGAATGTCTGTTTGTTCAAAGTAAGCAGCCACCTGCTTGGGGCAAGCTTGGGAAAATTTGCAGGTTGAATGGTCCGCTTTCGGTTATGTATAGGGTGGTCAGGATCGAGCCCCAAGAAGACCCCCCCCCTTATTGCATTAAAGGGCAAATTCCACTAATTTCCAATCTCGCTAAATAAAAAAATCTATCCTCACTAAGGTTCATCTAGCATATTGAATGATATGATGGAAGGTGGTGAAGGTGTGTGCTCTCACTCTCAGAAGCTGGAGAGTGAGAGGTGGAGGGGGTGAGGGGAATGGGTAGGAAAGAGGTCCGGGTGCAGCTGGGTATCTGTAGTGTGTAATTACCTAAGTGTAGTTACAGGATGAGAGCTACGCTCGTGGGATCCCGTCTTTCCAGCGCTGTCATGTAACGCTTTGAAATTATTAACAATTTTGGCCTCCACCCCCTTCTCACCTGACTTGTTCCAACTGTCTACCACTCTGCTTGCAAAAGTTTATTTTTCACTTCATTTGAATTGAAAGTGCATGTATGCATATATGATTAAAATTGTATATATATATACAGTATATATATATACTGTATGTATATATATATATATATATATATATATATATATATATATATATATATATATATATATATATATATATATATATATATATTATATAAGTATATAAAAATGTGTGTGTGTGTGTGTGTGTGTGTGTGTACAGATCTCTGGAAACACCATAGCCTTGAGGTAAAATCTCCCCAAGACATTCCAAGTGTTTCAGGTGTTGATGTATAAAGCAAATGCCACTTGTTTTACAGTGAGAGATGACAAGAATGTTCAAAGTGAACTAGGACTGTTCAACAAGTGCATACAAGTGAGAAGTAAAAGTGAAGAAACATGAATAGGTTTCCTTACTTTTTCAATATGGGCAAAAAGTACACGAAAAAGAATGGACAGAAAATTTTAAAAAAGGGGTTAAGCTGTATAGAGTGGGATAAGATTGGGCACACTAAGTGGTTATAGTGTGCTATTGCTGCCAAAGGAAGCATCATCAGTAGGTAGTACTTTCATGAACAACCTCTGCCAGTCTTTTGTACTAACTCTGTATTTATTTCCTCTTATACTCTAGGAAGTAGCACTTTATTTTAATACTTAATAGATTAGTAAAATTCATGTCCTTTTATGTAAAGTACCCCAAATACCAAACAGCCCTTTACCCCTTTATACACTCTTCAATCCTAAATGTATGAATATACATTGCACTCCAATCCTTCACTCCTTACACTTACCAGCTAAAGTAAACTTTTCCTCAATTTCCCAAATTACATAATATAAAAGCAGATATCACTTTCAACAAATGCATCCCTGTATATCATATATTATTGTAAGCAAGCTTTGTTTTGTGTAAGATTGTGTCACTTGCATTATTATGTGTCCTGGGGCAGGCCTGTGCATATCTTTTTTTTTGTTTTATTATTATTAAGGTACCTCTGCTAAGAGTTTACTAATTTTTATTTTTAGTTTTATGTGTAAGTTTGCGACCTATACAATCTTCTCAGTTTTACTGTAAATTGACCTGTATGGTAATAATGCTTAAATGAAGAATTTCAATTACTGTATTTAGGCATTTATATTTGTCATGTATAACAGAAATAGTTTAAATATGAATATACTCCATGCATATATTTAAACATGAGTTGATAGCAATAATCATACAGATAAATATGATATACCAATTACAGAATTACACCAGTACTGAATTCAGAAACCTTATTTCACCTTATAATTAAACAGAGCATGTTTAACTGTAATGTATCTCGTGTACATAAGTCAAATGCTTTATTGACAGTAGTAATCATAAGTGATATTGGCAATGTCAAGAATGTTTCCCTGCTCTGAAAATTGTGCCCAAATTCTTACAAATTAAATATTGAAAATATTACTTTTATTTATAAATCTCAGTTTTTTTTCATGCAGTCTTTCATTAAAAATATCTTCCCCCTCTCTCCCATCACAAACCCCCCCCCCCCCCACACACACACACACACACACAATCAATAGTAGTAGTAGAAACAATTGATTGACAGTTGAGAGGCGGGCCGAAAGAGCAGAGCTCAACCCCCGCAAGCACAGCTAGGTGAACACACGCACACACACACTAGCCAGCTGCTGGAAAGAAAAAGATCATTGGTAGCTGTGGGTATTAAAGAACAGGAAGGCTCCAACAGGACAGAATGGAATGATAAGGACAACGCAGCAGTAAATGAAATACTGAAGGCACTAGGGATGGAAGGGTCCCGAGCATAGAATTGAGAAGATTTTCAGGCTAGGCTGGTACAACAAAGACCGAGACCATGTGTTGAAGATAGTGTTTGTAAACGAGAGAGCCATGGCGGCAGAAGCGCAGGACGAGAGAAGAAAACCAGGAACTCGCAGCTCCCAACACATCCCCAGAGGTGAGGAGGAAACCCACAACCAGATACCCAGTAATACCAGAGGGGAGGGCAACCACACCACCCTCCTCTGCATAGAAAACCCCCTTACCCCAAACCCTCCCTGCCCCCACTCAAATGCTAAGTCAAAATCTCCCTCCCCCTACACCCCATTCCCACCCTTCTACCCCTCCCCGTCTGACATGTCCCCCCTCCCCCCATTTCCTTCCGGTCCTCCCTCCCTTTTCATCCCATACCCTCCCTGTCCCCCCCTTCACTTGACCCCCCCCCCCCGACCCTCACCCCAGTATTCTCTGAGACCCTGTTATCCACCTCACAAATCCTCACACCCATGGAACAGCTTCCCCCACCAGCAGAACACAAACCAAGGAGGCAATTTGAGAAGGGACAGAAGAATGTGAGCCTCAGGGAAATGTACACTTTGTTGATTACCTGGTTAGTTACCTGGTTGATGGGGTTCTGGGAGTTCTACTCCCCAAGCCCGGCCCGAGGCTAGACTTTGCTTGTGAGAGTTTAATCCACCAGGCCCGCAGGCCCGCATACCCACCACAGCCCGGTTGGTCCGGCACTCCTTGAAGGAAACGATCTAGTTTCCTCTTGAAGATGTCCACGGTTGTTCCTGTAATATTTCTGATGCTTGCTGGTAGGACGTTGAACAACCGTGGACCTCTGATGTTCATGCAGTC